TTTTGGGGATCCTGCCGACGCGCTACAGTTGTAGCCCCACTGCACATAAGATGGACACCTCAAGGGAGGGCCCTCGCAGCAGCCGGGGCCGACGCCTGCAGCCTTAGTCTTGGCCCGATCCGGCGGTATGCCACGGGTAGGCGCGTTGAGGCTTGCCGCCTCCTCTGCGCCAACGCGGCCTGTGCCGCAGCTTGCGATTGCTGCCAGACAAGAGGAGGAGCAGAGCCGTTTGGCGATAGGGCCAGGCCCTGTTCACGCGCACGCAAGACGTGCAGACAGGGTGGTGCCAGGTGAGAGCGAATGCGGAATGGCGCGGTTCACGCCTCGCACAAACAGAGAGAGAGATGCGCTCTGCATGGTGGGACATAAAAGAGAGCGAGTACTTGGGCGAGTAGGCCGTGCGGTCGACGCTGCCGCGCGCGCGACCTTGCGCGCGAGGCGGCGCAGCTTGAGAACGGCGGTGGGCGAGAAGCCGCCGCCGAACGTCTCGTGGAGCAGCAGGTTAAAGTTGTTGCGCTTGACAAAGATCGCGTCGTGGTAGAAACCGCGATGCGCCTTGACGTAGCCGTGGCCGTTCTTGTGGAAGGGGTTGGCCGGGCTGCCCGCGCGCCTTGCTGTACTTGCAGCCCATGTTCAGGCGGCGGGCCTTCTCCTGGTGCTGCCGAGAAGGCGTAGCGCGTAGGAGTGGCCAACGGAGGGGGGCGTGCCGCCACTCGAGGCGTTGCCAGCGCCCGTCGAGGAGGTCTTGAGGAGGGGCGTCCAGAGCTTGATTTCATTCACTTCATCGCACCCCCCCGGTCCCGCATGGGGTTCTGCGAGGTCGGTCTTGTACCCCTCATTGTACTGCCGGGTGAGCTCCGGTTTCTCCTTGTCACCGTGCACGACCGGCGTTGGCCGGGGCGCGCATCGCGTCCGCCCAGGCGGCGAGGACGCCGTCGTGGGGCCGCCGGTGGTGGGCCTTGTTGTAAAGGTAGTCGCCGAAGAAATCGACTGGCATGCCCCGCTCGAGCGCGACCCGAAGGGTGGGAAGCGCCACGGAGAGCCGTTGTGTCATGATTGTCTGACGACTAACTAGTGTCTAGTCGATCTCTGTCTGTCTGTCCCCGCCACTGTTTGTTTGTGGTTTATTTATGTCTCTGTTCTCGCTCGCCGGCTAGCGCTCGACTGACGTCTGACGGTCCCGTGGAGCGTGGTCTGGCCGGCTTGCCTTGTGTTTTTTTGCGTCTCAACAGAGAGAGTGAACGCTGTCTGAGCTGCACCGCGTGAGCGTGGGACCCCCGGCCCGCGGGAGACGCCGACCGAGAGTCTGTGTGGCCGGGCGACCGCCCGACACCGTGGGCAGCCTCAGCTTACAGCTGGCTCTGCTCCCCCCGCGTAGCCGTACTTTAGCTCACATGCTCGCCCTCTCGTCTCTCTGCGCCCCCCCCCTCTCACATCTCCTGCGCGCCGGGGATGGCGAGGGATGTGGCATGTGCACAAGCGGTCTCACCGCAGACTACCACTGAGCTCAACGCGCAATCTACATGTACGTACTACGCCCTCGCTACAGCGCGGTGGGCAGCACGAGGGCAAGGCCCGCGCAGGCGAGGCGCCGCGGCGGACGAGCCACCCCCGGGCCTCCGGCGCCCAGCTCTCCCGTCTACCTGCCTCGCCCTCGGGGCGGCTCGCTAGTCCTCGGCCGGCCGCTTCGTGCCGCGCGCCGCCGCGACGCCGTTGCCTGCACGTCGGGAGAGGGCGGAGTGAGGGCAGGGCGGAGTGAGAGAGGGGCGGGGAGAGAGAGGGGCGGAGAGAGAGAGGGCGGGGGTGGGTATGCTCGGAGGAGAGGGGTTTGGTGTTGTGGAGGAGGAGGTGGGGGCGGTCCAGGCTGCCTTCGAGCGCCATGACTCGCCGGCGGAGGTCCGCGTTGTCCTCCTCGATCTGCTGCAGCCTGAGAGAAGAAAGAGGCGCCGCTGGCGAGACGCACGCTGCGAGCTCTCCTCCTCGAGACCTGCTCGCCGGCGGGCGAGCATGTAGAGCTGCTGCTGCTGCTGCTCGAGCCCCCCCTCGGACGCGGGCGCGTGCGCCGGCCTGCGCCGCTTCTCCTCCGCCGTCGGGCGGAGGCGCGTGATGCCCTTGAAGCAGGGCGAGAAGACGGTCAGGTTTGGGCTCTCCTGCGGCCGCGGGGAGGGAGGCCGTGTGTGCGAGAGGGTGGAGGGGGCGGGCTCGGGGCCAGGGTGGAGAAGCGCCCTTGGGGGGCGAGATGCGAAGGGGGGCGGGGGGGAAGGGGGCGCCTTGAGCGTCTCTGGCGGCACGTTGAGCGCGACGAGCAGCTTGAAGCGGCGGTCGTGGACCTACCGCGGTGCCGCAGAGGCGGTCGACGAACCTTCTCTGGGCGCGGCGAGCGGCGCTGCAGCAGCGGTGGGTGGCGGAGCCTTTGAGGAGAGTGCCTTGAGGCCGAGCTGCAGCTTGACGACCTGGCGGGCGGGGCGGGGCGGGAGAGGGGAGGGAGGAGGTTTGTGGAGCGAGAGGGAGAGGGGAGCGGGCAGGCAGGGGGGCGGAGAGACGCACCGCCACGCCCGTGTCCGGTACCTCGACCGGGGGCGCCTCGGTTGGAGCCTGACGCAGTCACGGCTCAGTCAAGGGGCCGGGGAGAGCCGGACGCGTGCGACCACGCATGTTGTGCATGTGCATGTGCATGTGCATGTTCCATGTGCATGTGTTGTGGGCGAGGGGCGTGTGCATGTGGGCGAGGGGCGGGCGAGGCGCGGGCGAGGGGCGTCCCAGCCTTGTCAGGGCCGAGGAGGAGCGGGAAGCGTCGGTCCTCCTCGGTGAGGAAGGGCGGGATGGCCTGGTCGTCGTCCGTGACGAGGCAGAGCTGCAGCACGCAAGCGAAAGGCGCGCCTGCAGAGGACGGGGCCCGCCACACCGCTCAAGGAAGGCGTGCACAGCTGGGCGTGCACAGCTGGGCGGCTGGAGCGCGGGCTGCTGCGCCGTTTCGCGTCACCGACACGGTGAGCGAGAAAGGCTTGAGGTTGGAGATCTCGAGCGAGTCGTCGGCGGCGCAGCCTGGGCGGGGCGGGGTCCGGGCGAGGCGAGAGCGGGGCCGCTGCTGCGACCAGGGGTGGGAGGAGGGAGGGTGGGAGGAAGGAGGGAGGGAGGAGGGAGGAGGGAGGAGGGAGGAGGGAGGGAGGGAGGGAGGGAGGGAGGGAGGGAGGGAGGGAGGGAGGGAGGGAGGGAGGGAGGGAGGGAGGGAGGGAAGGGGCAGAGGTGGTGGAGGTGGCGGAGCAAAGCACTCTGGTTGAGAGGTCGAGGTGAGGCCGCGCCACACTCCGGGGGGGCACCCCGCCCCTCCTCCCTCTCAGATCTCCCCCCTCCTCACCGCGGTGCGAGTCCATGTTTGTGATCCGGAGCAGGACACCGCGGTAGTCGTCCGCGACGACGACCTGCACCACGCGCGAGGGCGGAGGGAGTGAGGTCGCGGCGCGCGCACAGCGGCGCGAGGCCGGCGAGCTGACCGCGGTCGGCGCGTAGACGCGCGACTCCATCATCTCCTCCAGCTCGCCTGCATGCGCCAGACAAGCGACCGCGTGTGGGACACGGGTGTCTGCCTGCCTCTCCACGCGGGCAGCAGCCGTCGGTTGGGCGAGAGGCGCGCCGATGTTCCAGCAGAGGCGCGAGTCGCCCAGGTTGGCCTGCGGCGCGGAACATCCGGTGTGTGAGCATCGCCTGATGCGTGTTGGGTGCGCATGCAACACTCGCAGCCAACCTGCTCGCCGCCGACCGCATGGCTGACTGTGGCGGCCTCTTCGACGGGGTCGACCTTATCGAGCTGACTCATGTCCTGCTCGTTGTAGCGCGATGCCATCAGAGCCATGACTGCCCCGCGCCTTTCGTTCGCAGGGTTGCGTATCTGGTGCGGCGGGAGTGGCGGTACGACTGTACATGATAGTCGCGGAGCGACGCGCGGGTGCGGGCTAAACTGCACGGCTGAAGCACAGGGCTGCGGCAAAGCGGGAGCGAGAAGGGAGTGGCGAGCGGCGAGTGGCCGTGCGGCAGGGCGCGCCCTGCAGGCTCTGCCGAGCGGGAAAGAAGCGCCGTGTTTCCGGGGGTGCTTGCACACGCCGAATGTGGTTTTAAAGAACTCGCTGTGGGAAAAAGAAAAGAAAGCAAACACGGTGCCGCGCAGTCGGGCCCTTGTCGAGCCGTGAGGGAGGCTCGCCATCAGCGAGCAGGCGTCGCTCCTCCGCGGCGCCGGGAAGTCGGCGTCGCCAGACACATCGTCTTTCGCCGCACGCTGGTCGGTCGGTGACTGGGCGTGCTCGCTGCTGCTTCTGGCCCTCGCGCTGTGGGCCGACTCGTGGCCACCCTTCGAGAGGGACGTGCGGCCGCAGTTGAACGACCCGTCCATCATGTATCCACACACGCCGCCGCTCGCGCAGCAGGTGCCCTCCTGGCTCCTCTGGCGGCTCTCGGTTGCACTTCCTCTGCTGCTGCTGCTGCCGCTCGCCGCGCTGCGACCGCGCGGCGTCCCCGCGACCCGGCTGCTCAATGAGCTGTGGCTGGGCCTCGTCACTTCGATCGCCACCGCCTTCCTCTTCACCTGCGTGGTGAAGGTCCACGTCGGCCGCCTCAGGCCCGACTTTCTCTCGCGGTGCATGCCCGTGGACGGCAGCTGCACCGGCGATGCGGCCGCAGTCACAGAGGGCCGCAAGTCCTTCCCGTCGGGGCACAGCACCCTCGTCTGGGCGGGGCTCGGCCTCGTTTCCATCGCCTACGCCGCGCGCCTCGCCGACCTCTCGACGCCACGGCTCGGTAGCCTCTTCAAGGTCGTGGTCGCTGCGGCTCCCGCGATGGTCGCGCTGGGCGTCGCTCTCAGCCGCGTAGCCGACTACTGGCACCACTGGCAGGACGTGCTGGTCGGCAGCCTGATTGGCTGCGTGGCGGCGTACGGCGCGTGGCGGCTGCGCTTCCCGTCGCCCGTCGCCGCGGTTCCGAGCGGCCGGTCGCGTCTGACGCCTCACGTCTGCGCCGAGGACCTCGAGCTGCTGGCGAAGGAGCACCGCTCGCCACCGTCGGAACGCGTCGAGGTGTGAAGATGTTTTGGAACGTTGTTGTCCGAGGTCTCCAATGAGGAATGTGTGGTCCTCTGCGCTCTGGGAACGGCACAGTCGCGTGCCGCCTTGGAGCACTTGGAGTGCAGTCAGTCGGCAACCTCACATCCAGGACGCGCGTTTTCTCTGCCTCACCAGGCGCCGGGCGCGCTCATCGAGTGACTGGCGGAGCGCCTCGGTCCCACCCGTGCAGAGCCCGCCGTATGGCATGGCCTCGTCCGAGAGGATGCCAGCGGGCGATCCGGACGCACTCATCCCGGCAGGGCGCGCAGCAGTCGCGAGCCCGAGGGTTGAGGCTGTCGGCTCGCTCATGAGATCGATATCCCTGCGCCCGCAAAGGCGGCGCGCAGCTGAGGCGCCACATCGTGCGGGTCGAAGGGCGGGCTCAGGATGCGCTCCAGATTCTCGAGGAGCCGTGCAGAGCACGCTCCGTCCGGCAAGCCGGCGGTCGCGGCGCAGCGGTGGAGCAGGCCCGGGTCGCGCTGCAGTGCGGCGACCACCTCGCCGCGTGTTGGGAGCCGCCGCTGCCGCGACGAGGCGGGCGGGACGATGCCGCTCGTGCAGAAGGTTCTTTGTCGCAGCTTTTCTTTTTGTCAGGAGACGGAACACGGAGGAGCTGTATAGGTCACTAGAGACCCACACCATCGCTACATCACCACAGCCACCAAGTCGGATACAAGTCGATGACAATGTGCGCGGCAGGAGAAACCCAACAGCATGACAATGTGCGCGGCAGGACAAACCAAACATGAGACACGGTGGCACAAGGACGGTCAGGCTACGGTCAGGAAGTAGGTTTTATCCAACTCTTCATGAATGAGGATGCGGCAGACAACAACAGCAGAGTGTGAATGGGCCACGGCCCATTTCCCCTTGGAGTCGTCGAGGTCGATGGTGCCTGCTACTGCTGCTGCTGCTGCTGGTACTGCTACTGCTGCTGCTGCTCCGGAAGGAGAGAAGCAACGACGTGCTGCACAGAGCTTCCTGATCCTGCACAACGTTGCGAAGAGGAAGAACTTTGGCGACATTCTGCGTAGTGCTGCAGCGCTCGGCGTGTCGGAGGTTGCCGTCGTCGGCGCCGCAAAGCTGTCGTCGCACGGGGCGCAGGGCTGTGCTGGTCACCTCCGCTTCTCGCACTTCCACAAGCTGGACGACGCCGTCGCCTACCTGCGTGGCGTGCATGGCGCCGTCATCACCGGCATCGAGATCTCGCCGGAGTCGCGAAACGTCGCATCGCAGCCGTTCCGCGGTAGCCACGCCTTCATGCCAGGCAACGAGGGGCACGGGCTCACACCCGCGCAGCTGGCCGTCTGCGACGAACTGGTCTACATCCCTCAGCACTCGGCCGCCACCGCTTCGCTCAACGTCAACGCGGCGTGCGCCATCGTGCTGCACCACTTTGCCATGTGGGCGGCTCTTCCCGAGGCGGCCAGGGACGGGGCGTACAAGTACGTGACTGAGCCAGCGGCCTCATCGATCCCACGCTCGGGCGTGGGCCTGAAGCAAATGCGGACGCTCAACGCGGACGGGACCGTGGCGCCAAGGCGGCGCGCAGGCGCCGCAGGCGAGGCCGGCGGCAGCGGCGGGGAGGGCGAGGCTGGGGAGCTGGGGGAAGGGGAGGACTACAGTTGGGAGGGGATGGAGGCTTCGACGTAAGCTCACACTGTAGTAGTACACGTGTCATCGGACTGCAATTACCATACGTATCAACTCAATATCGTGGCTTTACACATACATTATACAGTCGCGAGTCGGTTAAGTATAAAATGGCCGTGTACACATGCATGCGGTTACTCACTTATGCACACACACTCAAAAAATAAATAAAGTTGCAACAAATCTCAACAAGTTTCTACCGCGTGGCCGTGCGCCCCCCCCCCCCTCCCGTTCAAACTTTTCACCATAATTGAAATACCAATCACCTACCCAGCCGTATTTTTATTGAGTAATCCAAAATTTTTCGGAAGCTAACGGAAGCCTAAAAATGGGCAAAAAAAATCACTTGGATATACCCACCCCTCTGAATATATCCCCGAATGGCCGTTCCTAAAAGGAAAGATTTGTTGAGGGCAATTTCAAGCCCAGGTTGCCTCCAAT